TTTTTCCATGTCAAAGGCACAAAAACATTGTAAATTATAGTCTTTTATATCTGTTTTTAGGGTTTGTTGAGGAATTAAAAATCGGGATAAGGGGAGGATCTAAAATGAGTAATAATTACCTGAATAATCAGGTAACTGGGTTGGCCAGCCTTCCCTTTACTTTGTAAAATTCAACTCAAAAGGTAGTACAATTGGAGCTACCTTTCGTAACGAGTTTGCCTGTCATCAATAAAAAAACGGAAATCGTGATTTGTCAGCTGATCTAGCGACTTTTATTTAAGCAAAAAAAGATTCCAAGAGATGTTATGCTTGAAATATCTTGTTTCAAAATGCTTAGCGCACTTTTTTGCCTCAAAAAACGGCTTGCTTCTATCAGCACGTCAGCTTGCAGCGCATGAAGAACCGAGACCTTTTGCCTGGGGCTGACACCTGGCATTGCTGCGAAACACAAATTTTGTCACAACATGCGGATTCAGAAGATTTTTTAGAAGTGACCAGCGCTGAAGTGCCAAGGCACATTCCATAAGCAGGTCGAAAGTAATTGCGGTTGCCTCGGCAAATTCAAGTACGTGCGATTGAAGATGAAGATCCAAGTAGCAGCAAGCAAGAAGGCGAAGGTAGAACTACCTTCCATCGATGAGTTTCCTTCCCACTATTGCAATTGAGAAACGCAATTTTGTACACGGTCAAACAGCAAGCACACGGCGTGCCACTTGGGTCCACTGATTTGCATGGTTTGAAGAATGGAATTGCAAGTGATGACATCCTCAGAGCAACCACCCCTTGACCAGGTTTGAAACAAGCACTTTCCGCTCTACAGCTTGCAATGCCAATGGCTTAAATTGACTAAGCTTTCTGCTGGCCAAAGGCCGGAATTCGCCATCTCGCTCAAATAAGTAACTGCGCTGCGCCAATGACCCTGTGCGCAAATTGCTGAATTGTAAGTTATTTCGTCCTCAGTCTGACATTGCCCAAGCAGTGGCAACAAAGGTGCTTTTGGATGCTTGGCAATGCTTGGTGGCAAGGTAGAAAGGATGTGTGTACACCTGCCGAAAATGCGGCCCAGAAGCTAGCTGCAAGAGTTGAAGGCAAAGCTCGCTGAGCAACCTCTGTGTAGTCCGCCATGTGGATCTGCAGGCTGCAATTTTGGCATTGAAAGTTATCACCTGCAGCTGCTGCGCAGGAGGCACTCATGCGCCACGTTGCGCAAAAACGATTGAACACTTGATTGCAGCCTCCTTCCAAGTGACATCGAGTGAAACAGCCTGCTGCTGCGCGCGTGCAGACAACCCCAATGCAAGCTCCCATTGGGAGCCTTTCTCGCATGCACTGATTGCCTGGAACTGCGTGTGGCATTGCGGGGTCAAGCCCACAGCTGATAAACATCTTCAAAAGTTAATCGAAAAGGCATGGCTGCGCTTCTTAGCATCCAGAAAGCCAAGGTGCTGCATTGTACCCAGTGGTCTCAGGACGCAGCTGTCGGCTTTCCATTTCCTGAGCCAAGCACGCGGAACGATCAGCTAAGAAGAACAAGGGCACACGCTATCTTGAGTGAGCTTCTGGCCGACAGTAAGTTGAGTGCCTGCAAGTGTGATGTCATGCTGGGAAACTTGCAAAGAGAAGCAAGGCTGCGAGCCTCTTTCCAACAATTCCCTCCTTCACACGCCGAGATAGCAGCTCGGAAGGAGATTGCATCCTCGGAACTTCAAGCCACAAAGCAGTCTTGGCCAAAACTGGAAGCATTGCGCAATATCAGCTGAGGTGCTTGGGCAATGTTGTCCCGTGCCATGACTCTCAAGATGGCAATAGCCATTGGCCAGTTTCTTGCTCCTGAGTCAAATAGTTAGAGGGAGAATGTATGACTCAAGTGCTGCGAAAACACCACCATTCAACCAAGCTCAACCAAGCGAAGCCGCTGCTGCATGCGCTGATGGCCGTGTTGAAAGATGTCGTATCGCCAAACTGTCTCCTTGGCACAAAGGAGTGGCTATGATACGGGGCCGTCGTGGCAGATTTTTTTGCGCACGATGCATTCTAATCCAAGGCTCACCAGGAGGTCTAAAGCTTCCATCCAAGCCCCATGCTTTTCACATGCACTGATTGCGGCATTTAAACAAACCAAGTTGGCGTTAACCTCCCTGGTCCTAACGGCAGCACAAGAGCATGTGGACATAAGAAGCTTCGCAACACGCATTTGGCCCGCAGTAAGGCGCTGACTGCATGTTAGATAGCAAGGCGAAGGCAAACTTCCAGGTAAGACAGCCAATCGCTGAGCTGAAGCTGTAGGCGTCCTCAAGCAACACAGCACGGGCCAGTTCTTGATGAAAAAGATTGCTCCGATTCATATCCTGCTAAGGCACTGAGCGTGTGTTGGCCCCTGACATACTTCCTTGGCTGCAAAACACAGTCATTCAAAAGCTGTTGCCGGATACTGGCACTGATTTTATTGGATTGATCCTCAGCTAAGGCTCGGAGAAGCAGTAGGGCGAGTTCCCATCTGTGAGACTTGTCTGCTGCATTGATGGCAGAATTAATCGCCACAGCGTCGGCAAGACGGCGCCCCTTGGCTGGAAGTACTTCCCTCGCTCATGAGATGCACCAAAAAAAAGAGAAGAGCTGGATTTAGAACTTCTCCTCTGTCTTTTTAAGGCTAGTGCCTGCATGCCATGGAGAAACTGCACCGCCAAAGCCCATTGTGTCTCACAGGAGGCAAGCAATGCGCCTCAACAACGCTGAGCTATACATTGATGCAAGGAGATTGATGAAACTTCCTCGACAAAACATGCCAATGTTTTGTTCAAGGCACCACAGAGAACAGCATCGTACTCTACCTGGCGCAGGCAGAAGGTATCGTCGGGATGACGTGACCTTGTACGGTGTCAAGGGCGCGCGCCTTGGAATGTGATGTTGTATGGACCGCGTCTTGCCATGGGGACACATTCGCAAGAGCGCTGTACGTGAAACCGTCCGGTGGAATCCTCAATGAAAGCCTGAGATTCAATTCACATCATACTGACATTCAAAGTGGCCTTCATCTCAAATGAAACTTTCAAGTCATGTACTGATGTTCTGATATGTAGTCGATATAATCCAGATTAATCCAGTATATTGCAGCTGAGGTGCATGCTTGTAAAGAGGCACTGGCCAACTGACCACCTGTTGCTCCTGAACATTTTCAGATGCACCAGTTGAACAAGCCCTGATGAAGTCAACAAATTTAAGGCAAGTGACACTATTGAAGTCAAAGCTGCATTGAAAGCAACGTTTTCAATCTCGCTGCTGCCCTCCTGCAGCACATGTTGTTTAAATTTCGGGCACTGTGAAGGTGAAAGCTGCAAAGCCAACACCAACAAGAGTGTAGTTGCTACAAATAGTGGCAGCCGCCTCCAGTAGCTGTATGGCATTCTGCCATTTTTGCAGCCGAGCACATGTGCTGGTACATAAATTCTGCATTGCTGCCTCCAGACATCTCCAAACATGAGAGGCTAGACTCCTAGACCGTCTGCAACTTGGAAGCCTGTCATTTGTCACATCAAACACATCAAACACATCAAACCGACTATTGCGTCCAAGATTCGTCAGGCAGCATTGCAGCCATTCTGGTCGAATCTTTCAAAGCCAATCCCAACTGCCATTTGGAAGCAATTCCCGAAGCTTGCCCGTAGACATTGATCACCTGGCGGAAACTTGTCGAAGCAAGGAGGGTTGTGAGTGGCTTGGCATGGAAAGGAACATGGTAACATGTGGCTGGATTGGAACAGCCAAGCTACGGTGTTGAATGTTACGGTCGTGGCTCGAACTTGGCTCTGCTGCAGGAGCTCCAGATATTCGAACGAAGATTGCCATGATGAAGCCTGCGCTGACAGCAGCAAAACACTCCTCTCAACACGTCGAAGGAGTCAATGTGATACTTGAAGCACGATCTCATTGCCCCAGCTTTGCAAAGTCATGGTGAATGATGAAAATTGGTAGCAATCTGCCAGCATGGAGCAATCTGGCAGCAATTCGGTGCATTGGAGACGCATCCCACCGTGCCTTGGCACTGGCTGCCATCGCCATGTTGAAACTGATGGCATCCGCAGCCTCAACCGGAAACTGATGAAATCCAGAAAAAATCTGAAACTAGAGGATTTTGACCATGTGAAATCCTTTGACAAAACCTTAAAACATCTTAAAACCCTTCTAGGAAGTTTGGACTTAGGTGCTTTCTTCATCAAGCGTGTGCACAAGAATACACCAACTATCGGCCTCGACTCGATGGTGATACAGGAATCTTAGGACCTGCAAAGATTTTTGAATCTGCTTTTGCTGCGCGATCTTCCGCCAAACCTGCGTCAAGAGTCAAGATTCTGTTCGTGGCTGGAACAAGGCTACTCTCAACCCATCATCGCAAGCTTAGCACCTGTGCAGCTTCTCGTGGGTGTTGCTTCCAATCCTCCAACTTGATCTGCAAGGCATCCTGCACGAAATATACAAGTCGCACGGGCTGGAAGTGCTGCGGGAGACCACTTAGGCAAGTCTTGCACTCCTGGAGTTCCCGGCCAGACAAACGGCTGAACCTGCGGAAAGGAAGTGAAGGAAAGAATAAAGCTAAAATGGCTGGTGCCCTGCCTCTCCAAGTCATCTGGGCATTGCATGGACCATCATCTGCATGTCGGAGTTTGCAAGCAACTGCATTGAGTCCCACTACGCTGAACCAAAACGTGTCCCTTTTGAAATGTCTTGGTTCCAGTGAAAAGCACAATCAGAATCACCTTGGTTGTCCTAAGTTTGCGGTGCTCAAGATGCTCAAGCTACACAGAACTGTTGCTCTGAATCTCCCCTCGGGACCTCCAGCTTTGAGGCTTTGGACGCGACATCTGGCTGATGTGCTCCATGCTGTCCGTTCAGTTGCGCTGCCAACAACCACCAGGAAGTGCTGTGTCAACAAACCTTGAACTTGTACATCTTGGATCATCTTGGCTGGCTAAAACACGTTAAAATCATTAAACCTGTCTTAAGCTACTCCTGCACAGACTTGTACTTTCACAGCTTCGACCAAGGCGATGAAAGTTTTCGATGCGCGGCAAAATGCACTCGCAAAAAGCAATGCAGCAAAGCCATGTCTGACAACACCACTCCCACCCTAGATCGTCTACCCCTTTAAACTTAAAACCCCTTCAACTCCCTTTGATTCTGAAAAGGAAGGATCTGCTTTGGGTTGTGGAAGAACTGGTTCCGACAAGCTGGCACTGTTTTGGCCCAGGAAGCTCTTTAGCCAATACCTAAGGAAATCTAAGGAACATAACGCTAAAGTACGACTTTTGAATCAGGCGGATCGAGGGAACCGCTCTACTCGTTGTCTGTGTGCAACATGTTCAGGACGTTGCTCCTCTGCTTACAGCAACACAGCCAATAACGCATCGCTGCATCACATCAAAAGCAACGGAAGCATACGGAAGCAATGCTTTGGACCAAAACCGCACCTCTGAAAAGAATGGAGCTTGCAAACGATTGCTCCATGCATTGAAAGCCACAAACAAATTGCGGCGTGGAAAAGGTGAGCGGTTGCCGCTCGAAGCATGGAGCAAGTTGGAATCGAAGAAGAGCACCTTGAAAGAACACACGCAACACAGAAGCAACACAGAAGCCAAATGCAGACTGTAATAGAGAAGGTTCAAATGTCAATCGCAACGCTGTGAACATTTTCAGTTGGAAGAATTGAAATTTCCTAAATTTCCTTAGCTCTGTGCATCACCAGGTGCTCCTGTACAATACTTGATCCCATTGGATTCTGCAAGTTGTCGAAGATGTTCTTCTGCGGGCGTGCCATAGACCTCAGGGATGGGGCATGTCTGAAAATGTCTGAAACTGTCGACAGAGCAAGTTGTTCTCCACGCCTGTGATTGCAAAGACTTCTCCCAATTGGCTCCCTTCTGTCGCCCAGGACAGCGCAAGAAACTCTTATGTGATCCAGGAATCACCATCAGAGCACCGTTGTATTCAGCCTCGCATTTTGAGGGAAGCAATTCCACAAATTTCCACGCTCCAACCGGATTCAACCAGGAGACATTTTGGTCCAGAAACACCACCGCAGATAAACTGCGAGGACGTGGCATGCCATCCTCTGCGTGCCAAGTTTCAAAATCGCCTTGGCTCAAGGAGCGAAGGTCACGGAGGCAAAACTGCATTCCCTGCAGCAAGACAAACCAAATTCCAAAACTGCTTGCTTTCCATGTCTAAAGTCTGCTTGGCGTTGCGCTTCAAAAACATCGGAGCAAAAAATGAAAAAAGGAAGGTCTTGCTACGTCTTGCTGCTTGGCTGAGAGTCTATGCCACGAGAAGCCAGTGCCCTTAAATGGTGCTTGCAGGTTGACACGAGACCTTAGCTTGTCGCTGAATTTCTGGTCAATATATAATGAGCCAAAAAGCATCAAAAAGCAACAGTCTAAACAGTCTAAACCAATTTTGGCCACTGAACTTGTTGCGTTTCTCAGCAATCTCCACCAAGATTCTGATGCACGTAGATGTCATCATCAAGGATTTGTTGCACGTACTCGGTCAAAAACTTTGCCCTTGCAAGCTCCCCCAAAGGGCTTTTGTCCTCTCGTTGGATGAACAAAAATATTGCATGTGAACCCACTGCAGTGTCCGTTCTTGAGTAATCAACCATGCCTTTTTTGCATGAAAGACGGTGATATCAACACAAAAACTGGTGGATATTTCTAAACAGTCGTGAGGATCATTGTGGCTTGTCTTTGCTTTGCGCCTCGTGGATTGCAAAGATACTTCTGAGCACCGTTGAGTTCGCTTCTGTTACAAAGCGGCAATTGTCTGTCACCTTCAACCTCAGAGAGGTTTCCAAGAACCGATGAAAATGAGGGAGGAAAGGCGTGCAATCTGGTGAAGTCTCACATAACATACATAACATGATGGGCCCTCTGGCTTTGGTTCACAGAGCAGGCGACTGATCTTCGTTCGTGAAGGTCTGCAAATGGTTTTTGCAGGCCTCTTTCAGCTGCGTTCACTGCATAAGGTCACAAACTAGAGGTCACCATAGGTCACCTGTATGCTTCTTGAAAGCTATTCCAAGCAAAGGGAGGTGCATCCAAACGTGACGATTTGGCATGATTTTTGCAGCTTCTCTGTCCAAAGCCCCTGCCTCAATTTGCTGCAGGGGAACGAGGCCGCGCACGATGCAGAAACCAGTCTCTTCGTATGCGCAGAGTCTCAGTGGTGTGTGGTGCGGGTAGGAATGGCAACCCAGAAGCCTTCAGCTGAACGCAAGCTGCTAATAATAACATCTATGAAATCAGTAGACCATGACTGAAGGTTTGCTTCAAAGAAGATTTGGCTCCTGGCTCTGCTTGGCTCAACGGCTTGACTTGCGCAGAGCACCAAACCACAGGATCTGAACGCAAAGCCACCTGTCAAACAAAGTGTGACGTTGGCCGAGCCGAAAAGGAACACTTCACCTTCAGGACAAAGAAAGCGTGAGAGAACTGAATGAATTCTATTCTTGTCCTCGGCATGCTCACCACGTGTCTTGTAAGACTCATCTGAAGGCGTGGCATAGCCTCCAAGCAGGTAGGCTGAGAGCAATAGGACAATTTTTTTGACCGGAGGTGGTGTCACAGAATGTCTTCGAACTCTTTATTGACAAAACTTCCCACTCTCAACAAGCCAAGTCTGAAGAGGTCTTGTCTCAGCGCGTGGCACCTTCGAAAGCTGACTCAAGCTCCATGGCAGCTACTAGCAAAGTGGGAAGTCCTTCGTTCCTGTATTGAGGCCCACGGGAAAAACGTAATAGAAAAAATATGTTGCGTAATCCAATAGCTGAGTCATGCTGAGTCTATCTGATTCTGTGCTTGTGCATCTCTCTTTTCTCATCTTGGGCCATGGACACTGAATGGAATCAAATCATGTCTGGTCTCTTAACCTTTTTGCCATTTGTTACTTCAAGGAGTGCTGCGAGGTCTAGAGATTTACTGCCAGTGGCAAGCAGTTTTCGCGGTCGCAGCCGATCGTAGCGCACAGCCACAGCTACGGGCGATCTAGCCTCAGAATCGCCACCTGCGAATTGGGCATCCAATGGCATATTGTGTTCTTGTCAGGGCATATCACACAAATGCGACAAGCCCTTCTCAATCGGACCTGTACACCTCCACAAATTTGTAGAAGGTCATCACCTTTGTGCAGAGCAAAGCTTCACCGAATTTTGGTATCTTGGATTGATGCATGTGTCAGGTCCCGGCCATGAAGAGCGTACCCATACCAAACCTCGTGCAACACGTTCACCAAAAGAGAACAAACTGGACCTCGTCAAAGCCCTGAGTCTTCCACCACTGCATGGCATAGTTGAAATGCGTGTGCTCATCTGCCCAGAACAGTAAGTAATCCTCAGCCAGCGACTGAGCTGAGTTGAGATGGAAACTTGCTACAAATGCTACGCGTGCATCAAGATAGCAGCCACCATGGTCCTCTTTGTGCTTCATGGTGAAAGGAAGCTGACGGCGATAACCAGCTTTGAAGTCATCCTGGCACCGGTGTTGCTTCGATAACCTCACACCGATGAGTCAACACTCTGTACCCCTGGTGAAGGTGCAAAATCGTGTTTTGATCAGTCTTGGAATGTTCACGCTTACACTCGTATGGGTAAATCATGTGTAAATCAAATCAGAAAACATGAAAACTCTGAACGGCATCGGCCGGTCACTTTTTCCCGTGTCAACTGGTCTTTGTCTCAGAGGCATCAACCTCGTAGCAAAGCACCAGTGTGGTATGACGACATTAGAAGCTGAAGTGATAGAAAGCATCCAAAACATCAGTGCATTCTGTGTATTCTGTGTCTTCTTCTTTGAATCATTTTGAATCAAGTCTCAGGAACTTGTTCACAGTTTTAACGGCTGCGGCTCCGGTAGCGCCGGCCCTGGCAAAGGAGATTCTTGCAATTTTTGACACCTTATTTAATAACGTATATGTACATATTGATGTATATATGTACATATTCTGATGTATATATATATATATGTAATATATATATATATGTGTAATATATATATATATATACATATATGTAATATATACATATATGTAAATACATATGACATATGTATATATATATGTATATGTATATGTATATATATCTATATGTATATATATATACATATGTATATATATATATACTATTTCTGGAATATCTGGAAGAAACCCATCTCAGAAAGTCTGGTCTTGTTTCAGGGCTTCAGATTTCTTCTGGGTGAAAACAAGATACGATAGACTTGAGCTCGAATACATCACAGAAAAAACCAGCAGGCTAGACCCGGTCGTCGTCCAGACTGCGACGCCCCCTGTGAGGAGCTCTGGCAAAACATCAGCAATTTTTCATCCTTTCGACACTGCATAAAAACACATAAAAACATCAATTTATTAAAGTCAAAGTTATGCGTTATGCGTTTCTTAAAAGTCAAAGAATTTCAAACATCCGAACCCATCTGAACCCATCTGAACCTTGCACCCTGCAGGCCTGTCACGATCCCGGCTCCTGCGGTCACCTCTGCTCCTCCGATCATCTCTACTCCGATCGTCCCGACTCCGTCGGTCATCTCGGCTTCTTCTATCATCCTGGCTCCTGAGACCGAAGAATAGAATAGCATAGACAATGCATAGACAATGCATAGACAATGCATAGACAATGCATAGACAATGCATAGACAATGCACAGACAATGCACAGACAATGCATAGACAATGCATAGACAATGCATAGACAATGCATAGACAATGCATAGACAATGCATAGACAATGCATAGACAATGCATAGACAACGCATAGACAACGCATAGACAACGCATAGACAACGCATAACAACGCATAGACAACGCATAGACAACGCATAGACAACGCATAGACAACGCATAGACAACGCATAGACAACGCATAGACAACGCATAGACAACGCATAGACAACGCATAGACAACGCATAGACAACGCATAGACAATGCATAGACAACGCATAGACAACGCATAGACAACGCATAGACAACGCATGGACAACGCATAGACAACGCATGGACAACGCATGGACAACGCATGGACAACGCATAGACAATGCATAGACAATGCATAGACAATGCATAGACAATGCATAGACAATGCATAGACAATGCATAGACAATGCATAGACAATGCATAGACAATGCATAGACAATGCATAGACAATGCATAGACAATGCATAGACAATGCATAGACAATTAGACTACTAAGCAGTTGAAGTCATGCTGATGACCGCAACCATGCTGTACTATACATGCTGTTGCAATGTGGCGAAGAGGAACAAACACCTGCAACAATTCTGAAAACTCATTCGACTCTCATGAGATCGAACGATCGAAAGATCGAGCGACTCTCTTTCGATCGTGTCCCGGCAGTCCCCAAGATCTTCCCCGTGCCTCCTGCGACTCCTTCTGTCCTCGTCACTGCGACGAGTTCGACTGCGGGCGCCGCGATCCTTCTCCTGAGCCATTGGCAAAGAATACTTAGCAAAACAACATCTCCTAATTGTCAACAAACAATCAACCAATTATCTCCTACAACCAATGAGACTTCTTTCTTGTACATCATACATCAATGTGGAGATGATGAATTGTCTCGGTTGCACCATGACCATAGATTGGCAAACGGCGACGGTTCGCAGAAAAGGATTTGGAATAAAACAGCCCTATCTTCCCATACGTCCATCTCAACAAATGATGTGATATGATGAGCATTGGTAATGATGGTAATGGTATGCTCAGGAAGCCCATTGCGGAGCCAAGTGTTCAACTGTCGCCAAGTGTCTCTGTCATCCCTTTCATCTTTCTCTTCAGGAGGACGGTCCTTGATGATCTTCTCGTATTCCAGCCTGCAGTATCGTCAGCTGAAAACACTGGTGCCATTAGCATTGATAAACTCCGGCTTTGCAGTTGCAGTGACATTGTAATGTCAACAGATCTTTCATTCAAGGCACTGCTTTTCTCGCAGCTTTACGTAGCCCTTGTGAATGTCACTTTCCGGATGGATGTCTGGCTTGTACTTTCCTCCTTCTGTCTCGCGGACGTTGATGTCCGCAAACCGGAGCTTGTATTTCAAGCCGCAAACATCGCAAAGCCTGTCCTGTTTCAGGGGTGTCAGAAGAGTAGACTGAGAGTACAGAGTACACGCTACGAGGCTACGAGGAACCTGAATGCCTGTCATTTTGGACAACCCCTAATTTGATGGCATCATTTCAAGAATTTAGGTTCACAACATGGGTTCCAGGTACGCTACCCCTGCTACACCTATCTGGGACATTCTGGGCATTTCCACAACTTCTGCTCCTGGTCAATCATGACAGCGATGCCTTCAGCATGCCTTGAGAGGAGCTGCAGAAGATCTTCGACATGGTGAATAACTAACTGGGTCCAACTGGTGGTTTCACCTCCAAAAAAATATGTCAGTCAATTGAAGATCATCGGGAGCGATGGAGAATAAAAAGCATTTGAATCTAGCCAAAAAAGATATCAACTACTACAAAAAGATCAACTTGCCGTTGCGTTTCGACATGTGCTAAGCTTTGTACCTGCGCTTTTCCCGCGCCACCTCACATATCATAAAGCATTGATAGCTGTCAAAGGACAGGACTCGAAGGGCACACACACACACATGTTGCAGAACATGATAGACAAAGCAACAATGAAAAAGATGAAAAACGTAGCCAAGAATGTCAAGAACGTAAAGAACGTCAACATCTGCCAGGCGGCTTTGTCCTCGCACTCTCGAATGCCCTTGTCAATCAAGTGTAGGAGATCATCTTCATACCTACCTGGGCACTGCACTGAGAGCGTTCAGTTCAGAGCGTTCAAGTGCTTTTGTGACAAGAAATATCCATGGACCCAACATGGCAAATACATCATGGCTTAAATGATGAGATGGTCTGAGATGCTCTGCAATCAGTTGCAGTCTGTCAAACGTATTTATGATGCACAATTCCTCAACATGACCACATGTTACATGTATTGATCCCCACCATGATGACAATAGTAATTTTTGATTCATGAAGAGGGCTGGAACTGAGATTAACCCCTTGTAGCAAGCAAACCTTTTCCAATACCGACAGCCGTGCTTGTGCACCATGGTCAAAAAGCAAGCAGCTCACCAAACCTCTCAAATCTCCCTGTCTCTGAACAGAGTTCAGCACCTCCCCACATTACTCTTCCAACAGCTTTTTATTTCCTCTGGTCTGAAAAAGAGAGCACAACCGGCACAACCTTCCAATTCCGAGCGACGCTTGTATTTTTGATAATCTTTATGCGATTTGAATTCTTCTCTGACTCCAATTGAATGGAGCTTGTTGCCTCAGCGAATCAAATCTTTCCGAGGTTTTGTCGACTCTCAGCTCGCAGTCCACATCTCAACCACATCTCAACTACATCGCTACATTTGCTTTCCATTCCTCTGAGTTTGCTACATGGAGCAATCACGCTCTTTGGGTCGAATTCAGCCCGCATCTCAGTTGCACAAATGAATATCCAAGAAACAAAACAAAACACACACACACAAAGAATCAGCAGAATTTTAGATTTTAACCTTCCGATTTTAAAACGTAATGTTTTCCACTTGTCACTGGACTGCACCAAGGAACTGATTCGATCTCCCTACCTAGCGTCTTGCCAGGGCAGTAGCCGACCAAGAAGAACTTGCAATAATCGTCCTGTCGGATCAGGTCGCAGCTTTCCCATCTAGTCCCATCTAGTCCCTCTGTTTCCAAAACTTGGAAAGAAAGTCATGGATGGTTTCAATCAGATTCAATCTGAGTTCATAGGTGTGCGCTGCTCAGATCTACCGACTGCCGCATTTCATGTTGTAAAGCTGTGGCCTTTTTGAACTCGGGCTCACCTTAGCTCACTCCAGGCTACCAATCTTTGTCAAAAGATTCAGATCTATTGGAACCTCAAAAATGATGTGGCTTCCTGCGACATAATGAATGGATTGTTCTGTTTTCCTGCCTTTTTTTGCCTTGAATGACTGATGCTTATGGATTTGCACGCATTTCACTGGACAGCTCCTACCATTGGTTCGGAAGTTCCGAGGTGCATGGAATGCCTGGTGCAAACCTATGCATGCAACCACCATGCAACCATCGAAGACAATGGAATTTGCTTCCGGATTGTACTCTGATTGGATTTTTCCAATGCATCTGCTGAGGCTCTTGAACACACTGCTTGGCTCAACGGATAAGCCCTCAACAGCAAAGTGCACAGCAAGGCAATGACTGCTGGTTTCTATGTGCACCTGGCTATGGCCATCAGCCATCACTAGCCATCTATGGCCAAGCTGCCATTGACCTTGTTCTTCTTTGATACATCCCGGTTGGTGCCTGACGACATGCTCAGTGGGTGGTTTACATAGCCAAAAGGAAAAGCAAAAACTCTCACAGTTTTTAAACATAAACATTTTTGTATATTTTTGTTGCTTTCAATTTTATGCCCTGCACACTTGCGGCAACTCCTGCGATCAAAGCCTAGCTACCCATGAGGGCATCCAGCAAGGCTTTGTTGCGGTTCATGATGGCCAATGGGCACAAATGATCTTGGTCAAAATTAGGACTTCCTCAGTGAATTTCAGGTGAACTTCAAAACGCCATGCTTCGAAGGCACTTTTCTTCTCATATTAAAAAAAAACATCTCATCATGTCATGGTTGATGCAGGCTTGGAGGGCTTCCCTCTGAAACGATTTCAGAAACTGGGAGGGGCCTGAGTCTACTGAGTCCCCCTGCAAATCTTTGAGAGGGAAGAAAGGGAACTTGTGGATTTGGCAAATTGTTACATTCTTTTTGGTAAGAAGATGTAAGATATGTAAGAAGGATACTTCGGAGTTCCACCATGACCATGATCCACCAGGATCCACCAGGATCCACCAGGATCCACCAGGATCCACCTGTTGCTGCTGAATTAGTTTAAGAGGAGCTGCAAACGTTACTGCCGAGCTCACCTGTCACGGATCCGAGCCAAAGCGCCAAAGCGCCACAGCATGTCCAAACAGAATGTCCGGGAATCCGACAGGAATCCCACAGGAATCCGACATTCTCTGAACCATCTGCACTATCTGCACCGTTCAGAGAGAAGCACAGGACAACTTTGCGGGAAATGCGGGAAACGCAGAAAAAATGGCAATGTCAATTTGGTCAAGTGGCTGACAGGCCAAACACGGTGCCTCGTGTCCCAATGGAGCAGTGGTGAGCAATTCAAAAGCCTTTGATCCCTTCGGCTTTGGCAAACTTTTTCGAACTCTGGTGGAAACTGAGACAAACCCGGCAAACAGGCCGTTAGATTCATAATTACGTGGTCTATGTGACGGATCTAATCATATAGCCATGGCGATGATTCATGATGATTCACCACGGCGAGGTTTGGGGTATCATCAACATCACTCCCTTCCAGCCGACACGGTGCCGTCAAGCCAAGCTGCGCTTCCGACACCGCCTATCAGTGAGCTCCACCCGCCAGGAGCCGAAACATGCTGCAGCTGGGGCAAAGACAGTGAACGTGATCGCATTGCGTCCAAAAGACTCGGACTGCTTGAATGACACACACACACACAGACACAAGCTTGTACTGCTCAATGACACATGTCGATTGATAAACTGATAAACCTGTCTCTGCCAAGCAAATTTCGATCAAAAAAACGAAGCAGTCACCCGCAGCTTTTGTTGTCCTCATAGAGGACGTCGATGGCGGTGACCAAGGCCTCTGAACAAGCGAACTTGCAAATCGTGGCTCTACAGGAGAAAAAAACAGACCTTCTGAAATAGCTACGGATCAAAATCTTGTTACCACCTTCTCACCTTGGTGAATTGGTTCATCCTCCCAAGAATATGATAATTTGATGTGAAATCACAGGTTTTTGACCTTTTGACCCTTCCCGAAATCATTTCAATCTAAGATCACTAAGATCATCAAAATTGCCACTGGATCTTGGATCCCATATCTTCACCATCCGGCAATGACCTGAGCGCATTCTTCGTGGTTTCGGGCGTTGGCGTTCTCTGCCAACTCATCTGCTAGCAGATAGAGGTACTGGCACAGTGTGGTGATCTGGCGAAGCACACATCGATGTTCGATTGGTGGAAAACAGTCAATTTTTTTTGAGTCCTGGTAGGGCCCAGGTAACAAACATGAAAGTGCCAACAGTGCCAACCACATGTTCAAATCTTGTCAAACTAGACATCAAAGATATTCAACGAGCCCTTGGTCCTGCTTCTTGTCTGGCCGATTTTTCAGCCTTGCATACCTCCCAAGTAAAAATGATTCCAGACACAAGAAACACCCTGCTGAACAGGTCATTTGTGGGATTCCTCTTGAACATGAGGCCGGTGTCACAAATGCCTCCCAATGCCAAATGATGAACATCTTGTAAAATCAATCAATGAACTATACAGAAATGGGCGGGATGGATGCCTTCCAACGAGATTGGGAATCTCTCCTTCCTCGAGTACACCACGCACGCGAACCCACCTGAGCTTGACTGGCGTGTTCGAAAAGAATCTTCACAATTCACAACTAGGCTTCAAATAAGATAAACTGCATTGTGCACTCAGATTTGGCTACTCCAAGATTTGAAAAGGACTTACTATTTTGGAAGGAATGAATTCTGCTGCAAATGGATGTTTCTCTTTCGCATCATCTTCCCTTGTATCCTTTGGAAGCTTGAGATCTTGAGTTCATGGCGTGGGCACCTCTTTGCGTGTTGCCCGATCAAGGCGATATGATGGAAGATGTCCACGATTCACAAGCACAGTGGATCCATCCTGCAATTGGCAAAGGTGCCCTGACAGACAGAAACAACATGAAAAAAATGGGACGAGAATGGGACGAGAATGGGCTTCTTCTGCTAGGTTTGAGGAACATTTGAAGACTTGTCTCAGGGACGAATCTCTGTTCCATCTTGTTTGCGGCCACGGTTACAAGGATCATTTTGCAACTTGTTTGTGACGAAGTGTGTTGACCTGCCAAGGCAGAGTTTTGGCTTTACTGATCGAACTGAGGCTGTCTACACAAGCGAAGGCCCTTTGCCCCAAGAATTCCAGACTTATCCAGACTTCCAGTAGATCCACACACGTACGAAGTAGACGAAGTAGACTCCCCCTTGAATCTTGGTGCTCAGCGACAGCTAGAAAAGAGCTCCAACTACTTTCAAGCCACCTTCAAAGAATGGGTATGCTTCAACTTGGGGCATCAATGAGCCTATAAATGGTGCCAAATGGGTTTATTTGTTAGATATTCTACTAGATTCCAAGATATTTTAACAATTTTTAAACCATAGTTAAACCATATATTCATATCCGGCAAACCGAAGCCTCCCGACCTTTTTTGCTTTGGAAACCTAGCCCTTCACGGAGGACGTCGGACAGCTTCACGGCTTCACCGTGTCCTCTAGGCGCAAAGGCGTCACGACCAGAACTCCTGGAGTTGTTTCACCGGTCTCGTCAGAGCCAGGTCGTGGGCCCACGTGCATCTCCTGGAGAAAAATAAGGATTGGCAAAAAAAACATAAATTAATATTAACATATAACCAAAACAGATTTTGATAGCAGTAGCTAAAACCTATTAAACAGTAACGGTATATTAACTAGTGAAACACATTAGTCATCATTAGTCATAGTTTTGCATAAACGCATAAGTTTTCTGATATAGTATCATATAGGTATATTATTAGTTTTCCAATCAGTCTTGACATTGATGAAAACAAATTAGATCACTGAAACACTGAAACAGAAAACCCAATCATATAAGTCTTACACAATATAAATTATACAAGATACAACAATAACTAAGGTCCTTGCATATCTCATACAAGCGTTAGTCATAGTTATATAGTGACCATTGGTAATACAACCTTCATATGATTATGATTAAGACACCATGAAAATGAATAAACCGTCAGATCCATCAACCAGAAAACACCATTAGGAAATTGCTAGCATCATATAGTCAGTAATAAGATGTAATAAGTACCATCATATACCATATTCATGTATGACCACAAATAAGTAATATACAACCAAATATACGTACAACCAAATAACCGTTAATAAGTAGGTACAACAAGCAGCTAGTACTTTCTTAATTGTGAACAGCTTTGAGAACCCATAATCTGGTCAGATCAGTCGTCAGAAAACCAGATCTTCCATGGCGCATCCTGCACCTTTTCGTCTCCCCACCTGATCATGATCGAAAACTCCACGGACCTCAAGTCACAGTGCCAGTTTTCGTTTCAAAATTCAGGATTTTCTGGTGGATTTTGTGATTTCTGCCGCCTCCACCACTCGGTAGACATAGTCCGGAACCTGGCTGAAGCGGCTGAAGTGCCCAAATTCGCAGAATTTTCTCGTCTTCGGAGGTGCTATCCGTGGCCTGATCCTTCCATGGAAATGGACTGCCACTGACCTGGCAGCTGTCGCTATCCGTGTACAAAACTCAGAGCATCATGAGAAAATACGAGAAACATCTAAGCTTGGCAGCTTGGCGCTCGAGTTGGCAGACGTAGAGAAGGGGAAGTGTAGCAGGTGTAGCTTCTAGAACAAAGCTTCAGAACGAAAAGCGATCACCCTTTTCTATGTGGCAACGTCACCAAGTGCCTCCGAACCTGCAGAATTTTAGCAGGATCAGGATAATGGTCAAGTTGAGATGTGAGACTCTGCAAAAATTGGAACTTTGTACACAATGTCAGAACTATGTCACGACTATGTCATGACTATGTTGAAAAGGTTGACATTGAATCTTCGTCGAAAATGCTCTGACCACCACCTGGCTTGGCAGCACCTCTTCAGAGACAGGCTGAGTTCCTGTGCTCGGCATGTTTGGCGTGGCATCGGAGGTCCACAGTAAAGTGCACAGGTCCAAATGGGGTCCAAATGGCAAAAGGAATGGCAGGAAGTAAGCTATCCATAGCTATCCTCGTCTGTAAACCTATGTAAACCTCAAAGTGATCTGGAAGGAAAGCCATTGTGCAAGTCGCCCAAAGGAAACGTGCAACATATCATATGCTTTTATTATACTTTTTATTATTTTTTCAGTCAAGAATCTTTGACTGGAGCGATCAGCCCAACTTTAAATGGTGGTTTGCTTTGGTGGTTTGAAATCCTGCAAATACATGCAAATACATCATCGTGAAAACCCCTTTCTAAAGGTTTCCAGACATCCAACATCACTTGAGAATCTTTGCAGCGGAGTGTCAAGTAGAGTAAGAGCACCGTTTGAAAAAAGAACAAGCAAGACGAGACCATCTGGGCAGAAACCGCACCGCGATGAGCCACGCTTGCAAGCTGAGGCGAAGGGCAGAAATGGCCAGCACCACTAACATGACCTTACAATTCTTACAGCTCGTGTTCTTGGAAAAGTGACGAACAAATCAATTTCTCGGAATCTTTCTCTTGGATGATTTTGCTGGAAAGTGGAAACAACATGCAACTTTGCAGAAAAGTCACGTAGTCCATGATTGCTCGCAAGATCCAAATCCCATGTTGCAGGAAACTGATCGACTTGTCAGTTGGTCCAGCCACCATCCGGGGAATCGCTGTGCAAAGCCCTGGCCACAGTGCGATGATCCACTTTGAACATCCCTGGATCGGGTGGCCGAAAATGCCTGGCCCAGCCACTGAGACAGAGATCCAAAGGTATGCCACGCAAAAGCTCGGGATCCACTTGTGTTTGCAACTCGCGAGACACTGACTTCGACATGGCAAGCCCGGGAGCACCTAAGCCGCCTAAACCATTTAAGCTGCTTAAACCTCAATTGAATGCCAAACTCGAGTGATAATTCTGAAATTTCTATGGCTTGTCTTGTATTGATTCATCTTCACAGACTTCACAGGTCGCGATTCAACGCAAGCCTCAATCGATGACACCATGTGACAACTGATTGGATCAAAGGATGTTCCATGGAATCTCTCATGGCTTCCATGCCTTGAAAGTGCCACAAATTTTCTGGAAAAACAATTGAAGCAAAATCAACTATATACATCTATACACCTGCAGCTAGTCCCTTCAGCATTTCAATCAAACTTCCGGCTTTAATTCTCCCAAGAACAATAAGAAAATACAAGTGTGAAGGGGTTGAAAGGCATCAAGATTGGTGCTTGGGGATCCCATCTCTGGGTGTCTGGGCGGTATTTGGAGGGTTTTTATGTCATTTTCCCAATAGAAATGGCAATTCGATGCTCATCGTTTTCTCAACAAACATGGCATTTTTTGCGACATTTCTAGATCGACAGCCGTGGTTCGAGTCAGTCAGGGCCTGCAGCCGAGGCATTGCCAGGCGCTCGCGCCGCATTTCGATCAAATCGCGTTTCCACTTCATCCTGTGTTTCCCGTGTTTCCCGTGTTTCCCGTGTTTCCAGTTCAAGTGAGTCGAGAACTTGAAAAAATCACTTCTGGTTGTGGCTTCCGATGGATTAGTTCAAAATTCCGTATGTAGTTTCTGTGTATGCTAAGTTGGCGAAGAAGCACCAGAACATCCCAAACTGTCCTAAACATTGCGACAAGAAGCCGCAAAATCCACCGCCGAAGCTCTAGATTTAAAGTTGTTGTGCCAACTGCTGGAATGACAATTCATGACAACCCAACGAACTTTCACCCTAATCACACATCATGATAGACAATTATAAACGGAAATTCAATCTTTCAATATATTTGAATAGTATCTGAGTTTCAGTGTTTGTCTTCGCTACCTGCGAAGTTGCCACGCTCCCAGGCTGAAAACCATCAGCATGCAAACCTGAAGTTGTCACAAGCTGACAGATTCGCAAATGTTTATTAGTGTTTATTGTAATTTCTGAACGTCAAGCTGACAGAGCCAAGCAGCAAATCCAGTGGCTAAGAGCTGCCATTTCTCGTTGCCGCGAATGCCATACTGCCTCGTCCCAGGAGACTTGGGCTACTTGGAAGTTATGGTCACCTGGAGATTCGACCCAACATGAGCGTGCAAGAATCTGTTCATTGGATGACCATTCCACATTGGAAACGATCGTGGTTGTGAAGTTCAATAATCAGAGTCATTGTAATGAACTTTAAATTACTTTTTTTTTTGTATTGTCCCGACACCAAACTCGGTCACCATGTAAACATCAAGGAAAACCACAGCACATCCACTTCTGTTGGATGGACTGAGGCTTTTTTAGTTGCCAATCTAATTACCATGCAACCTCGGTGTACGGCTACAAACAATTTCAACTGCTGGGTTGAGCTTTGCCATGTCAGCAAGCTCGATAAACCTAGGGTTGCACCACCATGTAAACAAACTCGTTTACTTGCATGATCTTGCATGTATTGTCATGTATTGTCATGTATGGTTGTTTTGGACTCTTCATATATGTCTATGGTCCAAATATTGTCACCATAGCCTTTTTGGCGCAACCGGAGTCCCGCCTGTTGCGAACCATTCGACCAACAGGGCTAGTCACCTGGTGCAAAGCGGCCACACAGCTGCTTTAATCAAAAAAACATCAAAACATCATCAGCAAACCACCCAAAACCCGATTGTTTCCAGATTTTCCAGGTCGAAGTCTCTGAAGTGTGGAAATTTTGGATCGGGTTGAGGTCACCACCGGATCTGACAATCTCACCAACCTGAGCTAAAACGCCGGACTCGGTGTCATAAATGGATCCCTGAATCCACATTTGAAAACATATAAAGCCAATGGGTTGGGATAAGTTTGAGAATGTGAAACCAATACATTTGGTAATTTTTTCGTAGAAGCTTATTAAACTTGGAGGATAAATGTTGAGAATTTTCACCCATATCCTGATATCCTGTCCAAGCTCACCAACTTCCCACCTGATGATCACCGAACCCTCCACTTGGAAAGGTCGTGGATACAGTTGATCTGACCTGAGCTGAAGAAACCGTGGAAGAGCATCCCTTAGGGGAGCACTGATTGTTCTTGATCAGTTGGCATGACCAAAAGCCGGGTGTTGCCTGTTTGTGACTGTTTCATCATGGGTGAAGGAAAACATCTTTGTTGCGCGCAAAAATGTGATCATTCACCATTTCTTTGGCACGTTGTCGACCCATAAGGCTGGCGCTGGCTGAGGATTTCAATATCCTCCTTGGTGGCTGGCCAAAGAACCTGTCGTAGTGAAGCTTCTGAGAAAACGGAACTTGGAAGAAAGAAGTTGGGCAAATTTGCTGCCGGCCTGCCCAGTAGTTGTGCGACTGCGGATGATCACCTGAATTCCACACATCCCGATGGTTCCACCATTGAATGCTTCAAACCTTGTGGTCTATCAGTTGAGTCCTGCAATGGTTGGGAGGATTCCCATAATGTGGGAGGCCCTTAAAATAAACATGTCGTCCTCTCTGACATCCTACAATCCACAACATTTTGTGATAGTGGTTTGCCTCCATGACTCCAAAAGCATCATCATCATCATCATCACCATCATCATCATCATCATCATCATCATCATCATCATCAAATGGTTTATCATCACTTTCCCTATTGTATTGGGCATTTTATGGCTGCTAAATCATCGGCAGCAGCCCATGGCCCCGACATCTTTCTGTTGCTCCGCCACAGCGTTGGGATCACGTAGGCGCAGCGGTACGGGGGCTGATGGGGCCTCCGCCAAGTGAGACCGACCTCTGTAGGGTCATCATTTCACCACCAAGTGACACTCAAAATTGGGAAACTTATAGAAACTTATGACACTTTTATGATAAAAGTTATCATATTTTGGGGGCTAATCACTATCAACATCACTATCAATGAATCAATCACTATCTACCAGTAATTCTTGCGATGTTTCACCCGCTAGGGTACATCACACCTCAGCCAGCCGCTGAGCTGCCTGGCAGGAATTCAGAACAAGCAGGAATATGATTCGATTCGCAAGTTGATTTGGAGTATAGCGTCGCTACATACCCCTATTGGAGAAAACATGACAAAACATGACAAACCATGACAAAACCCTAAACCATCCAAAACCATCCAAAACCGTCCAAAACCATCCAAAACCATCCAAAACCATCAAATGTGTGATCGAAAGAGAAGAGGCAAGGAAACATCCACTATAGATGCTGCAGGGAAGCAGAGAGGGAGACCTACTAAGCCGCCAGGTCAAGTATTTCCGGATTGAAAATTGAATATTTTCCAACACGAAAACTGTGTCCGGAGCTGCCAATCAGACCCAGAGCCTCATGAAAAGTAGGATCCCTACTCCCAAAGCGATCTATCACCATCATGTGTCCAACCAATATTCACAGCATTGGTTGAATATTGGTACATATTGGTGATATTCATGATGGTCCAATTGGTTCAAGCATATTCATATTCAAGATATCACCAACATATGGGTTGTCTGAAAAATAGAAAACCCCAAAGCCACTGAAACCAGTCATTCATAGGCAGGAATTCATGACATTATTGGTTCCCAATTTAGAGAAACACCAATGTTGTTGTGTCCAAGCAATATTATTACCAATATGGTTTCCTACAATTGGGGTACACCATGGTACACCCAAATCATAGGATCACCATTCAGCGAGCTTGGTACCACCATGACCCGTCCGCCTCTTGGAAATCTTGTGCCTCAGGGATTTGCTCTCCATGCTCTTTGACATGGTCCTGGTGCCGACGGCCACGTGGTGTTTGACAGCGGGGGTTTTCAAGCAGATTAGAACATCAAAACCTTGGAAAACCAAACAAAGGTAGTGGATAAAGGTTGCATGATATAACCTCTACATGATACGGTTCAGATTCTAAGACAAGCCTACCAGGTAAACCAACTTGGCTGAACCAGATAGATTTGGAATCGGTGGATCCCCCAGCTGAGGTTCGATCTTTTTGAGCCTCACATCTCCACGATGAGTTTTCAAAAAATCATATCGAACAAGTGAAATCTCCTGGACACTACACACATTGCTGCACCTCAAAGTTTCTACTTGTCATTACTTATCTATCCCAATCTATCCCCACTAGTAAATATCGTTGATTGTGGGGGCTTCACGGGCTGTTGGTTTGGAGGAATTCAGTGTGCATTTTGCAAGATTTTCTTCCACTTTCTTATCAATTTCATCAAACTAGATCAAACTAGCTTTTTCCTTCATCTTTTTTCCATGGTTTCATCGCTGGGGAACGGGAGCGTGTCCTCAATGCGGCGTTCTACGAAGCGATCTTCTTGCCTCCAGGTATAGGGAGGTGGAACTGTGTCAGCAAAAACTTGGTTTTCTCGCTAATTCTGAAGATAAACAGTCACTGAGTCATTCTTTTTATGTTACAGTCAACATATGTCGTATGTCATATGTCTGGCCACCATACGTCTACTGCTCCGAGGCACCCGGAAGTTGCGACTAAGCTGGGAAGCCGTGCTGCATGTCCATTTTGGTCGTTGTGTCCACAGGCTCCAACTGCGCTACAGGATGCGCCCCAGGATGCTGGATTCTGATGGCTCAACGATCTGTTTCATGTTTCAGTTTTGAGAAGGATTACAGTGATTACAATAGTACAATAGTACCCAGTGATCCCAACTATTTTGGAAACCGAAAAATTCGAGTCATACAAACAGCGCTGATAAAACGTTGCCAAGCAACTGGAGGTTTCGCCGGTGAATCTGGTGTTGGAAGGGTTTCTGCCTGACCAACAGAAAGGCATTGATTTTTCTCGACATGGAGACATTATGCTGTTGACGGGTTTTCACATGGATAGTACCTCCATGTTTTCCTCGAATAGAAACGTCTCTCAAGATTGCAGGGTAAGGGTAACAGTACGAGTAGCATGAACTTATCTTCTGAAGTAACTGAATTCGATTGTCGAGACAGAAAGGGAAAATGACTATCTCACAAGGTCATGATGGTTCATCAAGTTCTAGAATGGTTTCGACACTTCCAGCAGGAGATGCAGCATGGCGTTGCAAATTTAAAGTCTGCCCGTTCTGTGGTGTGACAGTTTTGCATCTTGCGTTGTTTGCGTCTTTGACAGTTTCATCGCTTTCTTTTCCAACTTGCCAGGGTTTTCCTGTACGCCTCGTCATGAGTCATGAACCATCTGGGCAACCCTACGACCTTCTCTGACAGTTCTGATGGTTTTTGGCCTGAAAGTGAAACAACAGTTGGCTATGAATCAAAAGCCCGGATCCTGGTTTTTTACACCCTAAATAGCAGGTGCTGGATGGTACTCCTTGAGGAGTCACGTGTTTTTGTAGTTTTGAACCCGCACTATTTTCGCTGGCCAACTGACCTGCCTCCGATTGAAACCACACTGAGGACACTTGCATAGTCTACTACTTGCTCATTCTCAATATGCAGCTTGTGACTGGCTGATTGGCTTCCAAACGGTTTGCTTTACATGTGATTTCACATAGCACAAACTTTGATTTACATCACGGTCGCTTGCAGAAACATTTCATGGGATAGATAGGATGTGCTTCACTTCGAACCGTTCTGCTTCACATCTTAATTAGATTCCAAAGAACAGCATGATTCACAATGGAGAGACACAAAGAGGCTCAATCCGACCAACATGCAAACCTCCTTGGATGTGCATTCCAAATGGTATATGATACATATTAGTTCGTACATATGATGTTTACCCCACTATTTGGTTATTATCCAGTCAAATCCCCATTCTACTGGTTAAACAGGTCAAGCCCAATTTTTGTTGATTAAACCCCCAGTACAGCAACTCAGTATATTAAGTGAATCTCTCTCTCTCTCTATATATATACACACACACATATTTATTAAGTATATTATCAGATAAGAAACCCAGGGATGCTTAACTCATCGCAGCGCGGATCCCCAACGGATCAACATGTCCAGGCGCTGAAATGTCGGGCGCCCGCAGAGGCCGGCAGCCTGCATAGCAAGCTGAAGCTGGGACCTGCTCGAAATGGTGATTTCCTCTGGCTCAATGGCTGACCTTCTTTGGATGGTGGTTGACCTACCCCTCTGAAAAATATGAGTCAGTTGGGATGATGAAATTCCCAATATGATGGGAAAGTCATAAAAGCCATGTTCCAAACCACCAATGTTGAATATGTTGAATCCTATTCTCTGAACCAGATGGAAATAGATGGACATATTTTCACAGACCCAAAAACAGGTGGAATTCGTCAACACCTGGGGATCCCGCGAAAACTGGATGCGGTTCTGTAGGGAAAATGGCCGCAAGAGCTGTGAACCTGGCCACAGGTTCCAGAAGTGTCCAATAGCTTTGGGGAATAAAAGCAACAAATATACGAATGGAGATATGAAAAGGATGATGTAATATATATATTTAATTCCGTCACTTGTGCACAGCAGAAAGATTCCTTTCTCACTCCCAGCTCTGCTTGGCTTTGATCCTCTCGGCTTCTAAGCCGCATTGGTTGCCATTCTGTGGCAAGCTACAAACAGGAAAATGTGCCGGCACACTTCAGTTAAAAACAGGCATGAAAGCTGCAACTGCTTTCCGCCTTTCTCAGGAGGCCTACAGCTAAAGGACAGCTAGTCAAAGCGTTTGGCTGTGCGCTTCCAACTTTCCTTGCAAAAGGAACGGCAATGCGTCCCGAAACAGCTTCACTTTTTCTCTGGTCGTCGAACTCAAAGAAGGCAGAATCGAAGCCGCTGTCGATTCTTGCAAGTAAAAGCTCAGAGTGCGTTGATGCTGGAGTCGCATCTTCCATAGGATGTCTTGGATCCCCACGCCTCTTTTGTGCGCTGCTACAGCTCCTCCTCCTCGTAAACTTCCAGGCGTCAGACGGTGGTGTTTTTCAATGCCTAAAGCCGCAAGTATCTTGTCCCACCTTCTGCGAAAAGCGGAAGCAGAGTTACCATAGAGCAAGTCTTTCGCTTCAAGCTTCTGCCAAACTGCGCACAAAAACTCTGCAACTAGAGCTTCTCGACAAGTAGCGTATTGAACTGATGGCCCTCTGCCGCGTGACTTCGGGCGTTTGATCTTCAAATAAACTACTTTGTCGTGCTCTTCCAGCAGATCCAGAGGTGTGAGTAAATCCTCACGCTGGGCTCCCAAAACTTCACCTATCCGGCAAATGCCGTAAAAGCACAAGAGCATAGAGCATGTAAAACGCTCCCATCCCCAGAAAAGCCCAAGCCCTGCCATTGCTAACAAGACAGGTTCAGGTAACGGAGTGCGGTGCTGATTGGGCTCTGCTATTTCCCAGCGGCCTACTAAGCTCCAAGCTCTGGACATGTGAGGCCGGCTGGCTGGGATCTCGTTTTGCACATGCGCTAGCAGCTGTCTGAAATAAAGCAAAGGCAAACCAGTAGAAAAACTTTCAGCTCCAAACGCTTCCAACGCCATCACCAGAAACGCTGGATGGTGAACCAGCTTCTCAATCAAGCCTTCCGAAAATTTCAGATCGACCCACCTGACAAATCGTTCCCAAAGCTTTGCCCTCATAGCCACCGTCGCGGGCTCCAACAAATGAAAACTGTAAATGTCAGAGTTGGGCCTAGGTCGTGCTAACCTAGGTCCGGGGTGAACAGCTTCTCCAATTCGAGCCCCTAAACACTTTGCACAGCCTGTGATGTCCAGTTTTCTGCGAGCGCCTTTCAGCCCTAGGTCAACTGCAAAAGCCCCGGCTAAGTAGGAGCATAACCTGCGTGGGTAGGCTTCTGCAAGTTTTGTGTAGTTCATGCCCTTCTCTACGCATCTGCCCCGCAACACTATGTGCTTTTTGGTGCACTGACATAGTATTTTCTGCCCAGCAAGATGACAAGAAGTTCTGAAACGCGTGCGTTTCCTCCAAGCTGTCCCAAATCTGCACTGGTCAACTCTGAAGTCTCCCACTTTTCCAGCTTTTAGCCCTAGAACGCGGCTCCAGCTCATCCTGCAGCTTTGTTTCCAGAACCAAGACTGGTCAGGGTTTTCAACCCAAAACAGGACCCCATGCTCGATGCACAGTTCGCACAACTCCAAAACAAATCGCAGTTGCGCATGCCCTGCTTCGACCTTCAGTTGCTGCGTCTCTGTCAAGTCAGGCTTTCCAGCAGGGTGCTCTCTGTCACGCCAGGGCGGCGTAATAGCAGTGGAAAAACTGGCGCAAACCGGAGAAGCTGCCATGGCTCTAAACCACCTAGCTACAATGCCGGAAAAAAGGACTGACTGGAGTGCTGGGTCACTGAGGTCCTCACGCTGGGAATGCTTCAAATCGAAGCATAGGGCCCAAGGCAGCCCCAAGCCAACTAGGGCTCGCGCAAAACCTCGAGCTCCAGAAAAGCAATCTAAAAGCCCTGGGCCATGGTGCACCGCTTCGGCTAAACTGCTGAAACGGTTCCTGTCAAAAACAAACTGACTGGGTGCAAAACTGGCAAGGATCTTTTCGGCCTTGCCCTGCCAGTCACTGTTGTGTTCCGCCTCACTTTCTGGGGCTGCAGCTGTCTCTCTTTTCCTCCCCTGATGTGCGGGCGCCAAGGTCCCCGCGCCTCCAAGTCCGGTCCCGTGCGCAGTGGAACAGCTAGCACAAGCTGCCCGCTCTGAGGTAGAAGAACTCGGTGCCGGATCTTGGGGCGAGAGGCTATGAGGCAGCCGCGCAGGGGGGTTCAAAACTTCTTTTGAGCAGCCTTTCAACTGCAAACCTCTATCCCGCTTGACCTCTTTTGAGTTCCTCCAGTCAAGAGGAAGGTCCTCTAGAAGCTCTTCCTCGTCTGGCAGTTCCGCAAGCTGCGCAGCATGCACACCATGCTGCTCCAAAAACTTGTCAAACTCTTCAAAAACCTTCATGCTGACTTCATCCCACCAAGTAGGCAGAGAGGCTGAGGGAGTGCGAATCGGCTGCTTCCTGGTAGGGTCATCGGCAGGATTCAAGGCACTGCAAACATAGCCATAAAAAGCCCGCACATTTGAACTGACGTGGTGAGGGACAGACTTGCGCAAAAGCCTGTTCAGCGCGGTTGAAGAGCTTCTGCCCTTGATCAAAGCTGCCAAGGACACCTGGCTGTCTTGGAGGTGGATGTAGTACTTGTTCGGCTGCGCTGCTCCCAAGCGTCGTTCGGCGTTCAAGGCAGCCGACATCTCTTTCACATTGATGTGGCTGCGACCTTTGGACTTCTTGACACTGCCGAACTGGTGAAATTGGGTACCTCTGACGCAGGCTTCCCAAAGTGGGTTCATTTTGTAGCTGGCCGTGTCTGGGAGCTCATCCTCAGAGGCAAGACAATCAGTCTCGCGCTGGTATGCAGCCGCTGGTCTGAGAAGCCTGTTCCAGAGGCCTTTCTGCAAGCCATACCGCTGAAACTCCTGAGTTCGGCTGCAGCCGATATCGGCGGCAACAGCAGCCTCCGCTGTTGAAGACGCATCACTACAAATGAGCAAGTCCGATGGCTCCAGTCTGAGGTCAATCACCGCAAGGGGCAGCATCCCGATGCAGACCAAAAGCTCATCCTTCAACCTCGTTGACAGCTTGATGACCTGCTTTGTGCCTACTCCTCTCTGCTGTGTGTAGATCTCCTCAAGGCAGCACATCAATCTGCGCCTGCACTGAAAAGCTGAAACAAGTGCACCAGCCAAAATTTCCAGCAGCCCACCGCTAATCAAACCAACTTCTACCACCTTGAGCATGATCCACGCTAGCGGAACCAAACGCTTCAGGTTGGGGCGGGCTCGCCCCGCCCTGCCATCAACTTGCATGCCCCAAAACTCACCTGCGTATGCCTGCTCTACAGCTTTTCCCTCATGCCGAGGAAGCCTCGCTGCCGCATACGTTTTCCTGACCTCTTCCATCCTACGCCTTCCATCTGTTTTCACCTCGCCGCCATCTGCTAACAACTCAAAGCCCCTGTGGACCTTCTCGAAAATCACAAAGTCATCGATCATGAGCCCACAGCTGACAGGTTGACGACCGGGCCTCTGCTTCAGCGTCAAAAAATCAGCGAGCTTGAATTGTCCTGAACGCAGAATGACTGAGAGGTGAGCGACTTGACCATAGGCGACTGCATTCGTGTCACCCATGGCTAAGGTGTTGAGGCAGGCAAAGAGCTCAGTCTCCTTCTCAAACTCCCCTTTGAAGCACTTGAGGTGCCTGACTTGGTTTGGCGCAAAGCTCATACAGAGAGCATTGCGAATCTTCCGCTGCTCCGGCACCACAAAGCAGTGGTAGTATTCTCTTAAGTCTTCAGCGTGCAAAACCAAGTCTTCATGGGGTTCGAGGTGCATGTGTAGGAGCTGCCCTGCGGATCCTAAACTATAGATCCAGCGCTTTTCTGACTCCTCCACGGCGTTTGGTCGCCGAGCATCAAGGATCAGTCTGTCACGTAACTGATCCTTAGGCAAACAAAACATGCCGTTGAGCAGCTGCTTCCGAACCACTCTGCCTGGAACCAGAGCCAATCTCTCCACCTCATCTAGCTTCTCGACGAGCTCCAGTTGCTTGGCTCGGCTGCACCTGACTTTGACATGAGGTAGCTGCAGGCTCTCAGGGTCATCAACTACGCAGCTGTCCAAAGGCTGCAGGTACTGCTTCCGGTTTGCGTAATCCAAAAAAGGGACAGGGTCAAATTCAGGAACTCCTACAAATTTGAATCTGGACGGCTCAACGTCCTTGGCCACATGCTCGACGCTACCCGCCAGCTGCCCAATCACCTTTGGCCGCAAACCTTCATGATGTTCATCTTCAGCAGGCTCCTCAACTTCGCACCTGCGCTTGCCATAGTGCCGCAACTCAGAAGCGACATCAGCGGCTGCTGCCTCAAGCCGCATCAACACAGCCTCGATGGACTCGACCCGGGCCGCAGATCGACCCATGTCCTCTGGCGAAACATCGCCGCAGGAGAGCCAATCGGAAATGAGGGGCTGCAATCGTCGGACTGCTTCCCACTGAGCGCTGCTGAGCTTGGCACCAAGTTTGAGCCTCTTCTTCTGCTTGACTGTACCATCTGCGGCAAGCCAGTTCAAAGCCATAACAACGAAGTTCACACCAATTTTGAAGTCGGCCTCGGACTTCATACGAGCTCTTCGCTTGGTGTGAACTTCTGGGTAAGGTAGGGACATTGGCCAAACTTGCCCCTGAGGCACCTCCTCCGCGAAGGTGCTCTGCAGAAACTGGGAGTGGAAAAAAGCTGAAAAAGGGGTCCTTGCCCTCGTCAAACATGAAAAAGCTGCATCAAATAAATTCGCATGCACAGTCGAAGCTTTGCTACCTGGTAAAGAAACATTCGCAGGTGCAGCTTCCGGGGCGCGCACTTCGGCGCGCTCCCTCATGCTTGAGGTTCCTGGCTGGGCCCAGGGCTGCCTGCTGCCTTGGGCTTTGCTTTCGCCTTCCTCTTTGGCTCCTGCCTGGGCCCTGGCGCATCTGGGCTGCCTCCTCCACTGCTCTCTCCGTGGCTTCCTTTCTGCCACGGCTGCTTCGCAGGGGCGCTCAATCGCTTCCTGCTCTCCACGAAGGCATCCTTGTCCTTCAACCTCCACAAGGCCAGTTCGAGGAAGCGCTCGTCGGCAAGGCGCGACCAGGCTTGTTCTCCCACCTCTGGGGGCTTTCTGCCCTGAAAAGAGCTGAAGGGCGGTGCTAACTCGAGGCAGAGCTCTTGGGCCAGCGGCCAGTTCCCGTTGTCCAAGGCGGCCTGATCGTAGGCCAAAATGGCCAGAGCTGACCTTGCCCGAGCTTCTGCTACTCGCCCCCCTTTCAAGGCATCGTGAATCCCTCCTATCAGCCAAGCTGCTCGCACTGAACTCTGAAAGTGAAGCAGCTTGCTCCGATGCTCGAGCCAAGCACGAGTTGTGGTTGGCTGGTGGCTGACGCCCGGGGCGGCTCGGACTAAATTGAAATCCTCGTCCATCAAAGCTTCCACATTGCTGTAAAGCCATTCCGGGTTCTCCTGCAACGCTGCTTTGAGTTTCTTGAAAGCTGCGGCCTTGCCTCTGGAGCCTCCACTCTGTGCGCCGCTGGAGTCGGCGCTGCCCCCTCCTTCTGCCTTCTCTAAGATGCCCTCTAGACCTGACTTGCTGCTCTTCTCCTTTTGCATTATGGCCACTATCTTGGCTAGTTGCACCACCGCTCGTTCCACTGCCGGCTGACTGCCGAGCTGCTCGCCGTCTCCACCAATGCCAAGCGCTGTTGCATCCTCCTCCTCCTCTGATTCGGAAAGCACGTTCCTTGGTCTTTGAGCTCTCTTCGGAGCTTCCTTGAGGGCGGGCTGCTTTCCCGCTGCAGCGGCGAGCTTGGCAAGCTGATCTCCTGGGAAACCAGCGGCCCGGGCGGCTGCAACGGCCGAAGGGTCTAATCCAGGGTAGACAACGGCCCCTGACTTTGCAGGGCCGGCCGGCCCAGGCCCACTGCGTTGCGGCACTGATTGCCGGACTGTCTTCACTAGGTCTGGCAGCCCAACCAAAGATTCTCACACCTCTGCGAAAGCTTCTTCGAGCTTTCCGATGCGAACATCGTAGGAATCCTTTGGCTTTCCTGAGCGTTCGGCTTTTCTGGGGGGCTCTGGAGCTCCCGACTCTGCAGTGACAAAGGAGAAGTGCTCGTCTGCTATGGCCAGAAGTGCACTCTCGGGCAGATGGACAGCAAGCCCAACTTCTTCTCCAAATTCTGCGATCTCGGTGTCCTCCTCCGGATCGCCAACCTCTCCCGCCAGAGCAAGTTCTTCGGACAAGAAACCAATCCATGCCTTCACTGTGACTCCAGCCTGATCCTCACCGCCGCCCTCTTCAGCTTCTAAAGGGACGGCAACCTCCACCAAAACTGGGCGGCTAAGGCCGCTGCGAGGCAAGATCCTCCTAGCTGGAGTTCTGTGCCAAGTCAAAAACGGCACCGCGGCCAAAAGCTTTCCAGCAACCACGGTGATGGGAACAACCGAGACAGAAGTTTCTGCTCCTGTCTCACCAAAACGCAATCTGCACCTGAAGGACTCAGTAAGCCCTTCACCCGGGGTCTGCTCTCTTGTCAGCACAACGTCGAACAAACTGAGAGCCTCCCCTTCCATACTTTCCTCACTGGCCATCTCAGCGGCTCAAGGGCCAGGTGTACCCTGCCTCTTCGACCGCAATCCTTGCCTCCCAAAGTGTGGGAAACCCTAGAAAAACTGATGCACCGGCACTGGAGCCCCTCTTGCAAATCTCTTTCACCTCAGCAAAATTCTCGGTGACTTTAGGGCCGGGAAGACGCTGGCCTTCAAAGTTCACCAAAACAACGTAAATTCGATTGGCTAATTTCAACTTCTCTCGCCCTGAACAGCCTCTGAAAACGCCACGAACTGCTCTCTTCAAAAACTGCCCGCACTCCTTAGCCAACCTCTCTCTGCCTTGCCTGTCAGTGCTGCTCACTAGCCCTTCGCTGGCAAGCGCCTCCTCTGGCAATGAGCTGACCAAGGAAAAATGATCACTACCTTCAGCCCCAGTCTCAGTTTTTGCCTCAAGTTCACTGATTCTCTCACCTTGGCTCGCGACTGTCAACCTTAGTGCTTCAAGCTCAGCCCTCAAAGCACGCAGCTCTGCTGCGCTCATTCAAGAACCCGCCAGGCAGACTTTGGCGTGCAAGGGGCCCGACTGAGCCAGGCGATCTGCCGCCTCAGATAGATGATCAGGACTTGCCTCAGCAAATGAAGAAATTCGATGATTGGCCCTAGCAGCAGGCCGATGAAGATCCCCACAACTAAGGACTTGATGTCCCAGTCCCAGCCTAGGAACTGTTGTGTGAAAAGGCTTTCCTTAGCCAAACAAAGAGGCTCAACCCAAGGCTCAGGGACCCACGCCTCCTTAGCCAGTGAGATCAGCACCCCAGCCAGTCCACCGGATGCAGCTGAAGCTGTTATGGGGCGCATGCGCTTCGGTCTTGACCCTCGATGCTGCACATGTTTGAAAGTAAATGCCAGGTCATATATATATATATCCAACATATTTACGGATCTATTGATAGATACATGGATATGTTGATGAATATATGGGAGATTAAAATACATCCCCCCAAAATCATTATAGTTCTTGGCAGATGTATGGCTTTGCCCAACAAACAGTCTACCCCAAATTCCAATAATCTACCATGGTTTTTCCCATAAAACTGGCAATTTTGCAAAGGTATACTGATGAGATTTAAGGAGATCTAATGAGTACTCAAAAGTAACTATTCTCCCATCAACAAAGTATAGTGATCAGTCGCTGTATCCTGGACAGCGACTAAAGGGGCCTCTTCGGCATGGCTGCAACAGCCGCATCCCGCATCACGCACGGATTGAAATGGTTGCAACCTTCCGAAGCCAATCATCGATTGATGGTTGACTACCATGGTTAACAATGATGGTTTATAGTGAGGGTTGAGTGAATGAATGCGACTGACGCCGCCGGCTACTCTCAAATTTATATCTACCACTGATTGTGCTAAGTAGTGATGCTGAAATGGTGGAAATGGTTAACAATTGCATCTATATTGCCTCTATAGTCACCATGTCTTCAGCCACTTGTCGTTCATCACTCTATTTGGGCATTGTTTAAAACATTGTTCTTCACTGAGTCATCACTGTTGTGGAAACGCATGGTTAATTCAACCCTCAATGAGCTCAAATATCCTCCTGCAGTGACAGTAGCTTCACAGGTGCCAATGCTTGACTGTCATAGGACCTGATAATCCTGATAGTCTGAGTATGGCAGGGACAACGCGGACAACGGCATGTGTTCCAAGAACGGAGTGATTCAGACATTCGCTGGCTCCACAAATCGCGATCATCCCAAGTAGCAGATCACGTCTGTTTTGGTCCGACAGCGAACATCTTTTCACATGGCAACACTTGCAACTCACATGGCAATTCCGCCAGGTTCAGAGAGCTTGGTTTTCCTCATGTCCAAGTCATCGATGTGGGTTCCTTTGAAAACTTGAAAGAAACAACCTGGATCAAGCGGGTGTATCATGATTTGTGTAACTTGTTTCGCAAGTCCATTGAAAAAGGTCCCCCAGTTTGAGACAAACCCTGTTACTGTAGGCTGCCTTTCCCATCGAGTCTCAAAACTGAACGACAATTGACACCTCGAGCTCGGTGGGGACCTGTGGCGACCTGTCGCCTCTATGTTGATATTTAATGGAATTCAGGAAAATCAATATAGACAAAATAGAGACAATACAAGACATTGAGTGACTGTGAATATATAAAAAACAAATTGAATGGATACTCAAATTCCACAAAACATCGCTCTCAGATTGCCCACTTCAAAGGTTTGCCTGTGGAAAATCGTTTCGTGGCTGCAGAAAGTCTGCGAAGGTGAGACGTGACATTGCCGCAGCCATCCTGCATCATGGTTGAAAGCGGCAGGGTTAGTAGGGTTAGACCTGGTTAGTAGGGTTACAACCCAGGTACATCCAGGTACAAATGGCAGCCTTGTGGGACTTGTTAACCCCTGACCGCTTGGGATGAACCTAGCCTTGCTTCAAACAGAAGCCATTCTCTGAACTGGAAGCAGAAATGGAAAGAAACTGGATTCTGGGGTTGCGACACATTGATCTTCAAGAATGGCAGGTGAAACTACATGCACGAATCAAGGTGCAATCCGATAAAGAGTTGATACGAAACAAGTCGTATTGCACGGTTTCCACGCAGCCTGAGTACTGCTGTATGGACACCGTGGACACCACAGTTTTAAACATTCAACAAGTACATCCCAGCTCTGAAGGCCGACCTTCAGTGAACTGGTTCTGGCTGATCAATCATAGCCACTGCGAAAATCTGCGAAACTGCAGGCCGTTCGTAAAACACAATTCTTCTTCAACTTGTTTTGGAAACCAGAAACTGAACTCAGGGACCCTAGCACAAAGAAAACTTCTGTTGTAGCTTTGTTGGTCAGTTTTTCAAGAGCCTGATCTGTGGCTAGACATCTTAAAACGCTGCGGAGTGGCCTCCTTAGAGACGCCACAAAACCGTAGGTCCAAACTTGGTCTGCATGGAGTCCCCCCCTTCCCCATGGTGTCGTCATTGCGTCCTTCGGTTGAAAACTTGCAAGGTTTTCACCTGCAGCGACATGACCATTGGGCTTTCCATGGCTTTCCATGGCTTTCCATGGCTTTCCATTTCCTCATTTTCTGTGATGAAAAAAAAAGGGCGCAGTTCTTAGTGACTCAAAGAAAGAGAGGCCGAGAACAAGACGAGGATAAGACACTATATGTTCACTATATGCAATCAACAACTTATCCGAAGAGGCTTCAGAAACAACCAATCATTTGCAAAGTTGGTGGATGCTGGTGGTACCACGTGGCAACCATGTCCCTCTTCTCACCTCCGTTGCGAGAGCTGCGAGCTCGTCTTGAACAAAATGCTGAAACCTCCACCATGCAAGACATCCACGAAGAGCACTTTGAGTTTCAGATGCAAACAGTAGATTTTCAAAGGGTGTGCAAGCCTTCTAAGCTACTGTAATGATGACTTGGAAAAAAACAAACAAAACTAACATGTACTTCGCAGTAGTTTGTTTTGTGGTAACTTGAAACTCAAGCACCTTGTTCACTGATACAATGCGTGATCTGTCTTTCTCATTGTTAATACACTGCTTAGCACAACCTTGGCATCCTGTCTACACTCCAAACTGTGTCTTGGCAATTTTTGGCATACTGCTTTGGATTTTTTTGGAGCAGGCCTTCCTTGGCTTTTAATCATCCACTTCTGGTCGGATGCGAGTTTGGCAATATCCATCGCTCGAGCTTGTCCACGCAATCGAAGGCAACCGAGTAAAAACTCTTCAACTTCCACCGCGCCACCTGCGTCGTCAAACAGACAATGTCGTCACATGTCGTCACATAGACCATCGTTGGCAAGAAATTTCTAATCTTGGAAATTGGAAATTTGATAGACTTGCATGTCAAAGAACAACGGCACATTAAACACCTCTCAAAGCGCCTGCCCTTCTTGAAACCAATTAAAAAACGAAAAAAACTCTCTCCGATGTGTTGGCTACTGTGTGTGATCTTCCTAAATGTTACAAAGTACAGCAGGCTGCCTCCAGGCGCAGTTGCTGTGGTTTGTTTTCAGCACACGGTTTTGCA